TTTATTTATTTATTTATTTATTTATTTATTTATTTATTTATTTATTTATCTATTTAGAGAGCCTGAACAGGGGGAGGAGCATAGGGAAAGAGAGAATCCCAAGCAGACTTCCCACTGAGCGCAGAGTCCCACGCTCTGTCCCACAACCCTGAGATCATGACCTGAGCTGCAATCAGGAGCTCAGATGCTCAACTGACTGAGCCACCCAGGCGCCCCAGGAATCTTGACTTTTGTCCTCCCAGTTTACTTTCCTCCAGCAGGAATTATATAGCACTTGTTTTCCCTCCGGCGTTACTATAATGGCTTCCAAAGGTGGTGGATGTTCTTGCCAATTACAGGCCAGGGTTCCTTTATGTAACCAGGGGTTTCTACGGAAACATGGCCCAGGCTTCAGAGGGAGCATAATAGATTTGATTATGAATATTGAGCCAATTTTCACAGCTGACATACTGCACACTTCCTTGTTGCAAAAAATCACAGTCCAAACTGTGTGGAGAAACTTGGTAATGCCTGCAAATTCTGCATGTGGATGATTTGGAGCCCGTGACTTAAAATATCTGGCTTAAATCATTTTTTCAATCACTGAGCATGTCAGGCTCTTTCAGATTTCCCTTGCTTTGCACATGGTTCCAATCTGCTTTGAATGACCTTCCATTCCGATTCATTCATTGAGTTTCTACTTTTTTTTTTAAAATCCCAGCTCATAAGCAACCCCTCTATAATGCCTCCTTCAGCTCTCCTGGGTGGAGTCCATTGTTCTTTCTTGTGTGCTTCCGTAGTTTTGCATTCACACCTTTACCATCACATTTACCAGACTGTGTCTTGCATGTGTTTCTGTTGAAAACACCTTATTTAATGTGCACCTTATATGGTTTGATTCATTAACATTGAACTGACCAATAGCACTGTAACTCATGCTTGAATGAAGTTTGCCTAATGTGTGTTTTCTCCATAAGACACACCACCCCTTTGCACACTTTGGAGCACTATGCATGGGGGCCATTTTAAACATGCAATCGCCAACAAAAAGCACAAAAATATGAAAAACCTGGGCCTAAGTAGACCATGGAAAGGGCACGTGTTCACAGTATGAGAGCCGAATAAGAAGACGATTTTGCCTCAGTCAACCTCCGCTAGGAACATGAGTGTTGGCGACTTGAGTTTCTCACTGCTTGGTGCACATTGGAAAATGACACATTGGAAAAGCACCCAGAGTATTGATTTTGAGGTTACAAATACATTTCAGGGAGTGGGCAAAGTCACAAACATGAAATCTGCAAATAATGAATATAGACTATAGGTGCCTCCAGCCTAGACTATGAACTCTTTGAATCCAGCATCTGTGTTTTATTGCTCTTTGTATCTTTCTAGTACTTTGAAGAGCACCTGATACATAAAAACCTGGCACTCAGTGAATGCCAATTGTATGAGTGAGCCATTCAATCCTGTCTTGCATTGCTTTGGCGATTTCCCCAACAATTTATAAACATATTAATAAAGCAGCAAAGTGTCTCTGGTTCTTCTCCCATATGAAGGTTATGGGCCTAATTTGATTCTTCGCAGTTTTTTGAGAAAAACCCTGCCTTCGAAAGTAAGGAA